GAAATGAGCAAAAATGGGACGGAAAGCATGGAATTTTGCCATAATCTTGAACCTAAGTGTTTGATATTCATATTTCACTTTGTGGGTCAAAACTACCCGAATTTCCTCACTAACGTTGTTACGACTGAATCGACTTTTCAATTCTCCATCCAACGATGCCAAAACGAATTCTGTGGCTCAAATGGTTCTTGAGAAACTTCGAAAAAAAACGCTGAAACCTGCACAAAAACCCCACTAAATTCTGATTTTTGCCAGCTGGGTAAAGTTGGGGCTGAAAATTACTGTTCTGACAAAAGCGTCTTCATTCGAGCCTAAGATTGTCGCAGTACCCTTTTAATCACGTGCTTACGGGACACTCGGTATGAAACCACTAGACATGTACTATACATATACAGGGTGATGCAAATAACACGGGGTGAAAGAACATAGCAAACCGGTGTGTAATATTGAAATTTTTTTTATGCAGATAATAGAGGCCATCCATTAAAGCTATTTTCGTTACACAGGGTGTCCCCAAAAATACGCGTCATATCAAACTTGGGGTTTTTAAAATGATTAATGATTAAAAATAACACAGCATCGGTGGCAAATTGTTGAAAAATTTGTCAGGCAAAACTGGATCCGTGCAGCGGTCTGCTATTTGCTCAGCTTAGTAGAGAAAATGTTGCTTTACTTGTGCGCTAATTTGCAAGTTTTTGACGATTTTTCAGTACGAGATTGAGTCGTTTTCTGGCGAGAAAAATGTCTGTAATAATTTTTTCAGAAATTCTCATTCGAAACTGGAAATAGATAGCAAGACTGAGCATCAGTCACAAACTGGAGTTTGACAAGTTGAAGCTTCACCTCTCGATCCAAGATTTATTTTTCCCGCATATACAAACAGATTCTCTAATGCTCCACTTACCTTTCATCATGTTGTCGGTTCGCCATCACCATCTTACGGATTTTTCATCGAAAAATCACCAAAACACATTTCACTTTGATCGGTGTCAAGAATTCTTGGACATTTGACACAGCAGATAAGTCAAACCGAGTGATATTTATTGTGTAACTAATCCCGACGTTGTCAACTTGCACAAATTCTCCCTAAAGGACTATTTCCTTTGCAGGTCTGTGCGAGACACAAGAGGATCATTTCATGCACCACCAGCCGATGGAACACGGCGCGCTCCAGATTGGCAGGCCGATTTCCAGCCTGATCCAGACCAATCAGATGGGGCGTCAGGCGCAGCAAAAGGAGAGCAGGCCGAGCGTGATCGAGTCCTCCCAGCCGCACATTATCGAGTGCACCTAACTTGGTGCTTTGGACTCAAATGGGGCCCCCTAAAGGGCTGGAAATCGTTATTTGAAGGGGGTTTTGGGCGTATAGTTGAGTGGCGAAGCTTCCGCTGCGAAAACTCGAATAGCGCACTTCTGGTGCCGATTTCGTCGTGATATTTATGTTTAAGTTCTCTCCCCTGTATTGTAAATGATACTCATTGTCCCTGTGTTTTTGTAGAGTAGATTTTACGGTATTTATTAGGAAACAGCGCCCCCCATTGCCTCGATCTCCTTCATCTGTTCTGGACCTGGATGTTGCGGCTCCGCCTCTATCCGCCCCAATGGGAGGCGCTGTTTTGCGTTATTTTTTAGACTGATTATGAGAAAAGCAATACTAAGATTTGTACTTTTGAATGATCGCCCCATTGATTGTTTAGTCACAAGACAAATCGCTAGAGTTTAGTGTCGGTTAAGGTCTAGGTTATTGAAGGGGGTGCAATTGATTGGCCGGTCAATTTCAGCCTCGATTCAGCGTAGCTCTAAGTCCCTTCAGTTGAAACTTCCGGATTGGGTGGATTTTCCACGCTATCCAGGATCTGGATGCAGGCAGTATTATACTTAGGTAGAGATGGCTTATTTTTGTACAAACGGCCGCTTTAATGGCAAGTAGGGCGGGCCTAGTAGTACCCCAAACCTTGTGTATCTGTGTTGGAGATGTACAAATTTTTATTTTTCATACTGATGAGATGCCGGCGCGTAGTTTTTGTACATTTTTGTATATTGGTTTTTCGTGTGTCTGAAACTTGCCCGTTTGTGTATAAAATGTGTATTTATTTACTTTCGATGATGGTTTTAAGTGGCGGCTCACGTACTACGACTACTATTTTTATGTTTATTACTTGAAAATACAAATATGTTGATAAGCGGCGAGTTTCCATTCCTGAGCCCCAATCCAAACAACGCCTGATTAACTAATAGAAATGCTTTATTTTGCCACTCTGATGCTCTACAGTAATAACGGTATGCATTACTATACAGCGGGACCAAGCGAAGCGACCAGCCCAAAGGACTGGGGCTTCGTTCGGGCCTTGCACTGTATGCTTTCGGGAATTAGACAATAAAAACGTGAAATATGCCGGCAAGCAAGTGATAGATGAAAACCGGCGGGGTCAAATTAACAAAATAAATTACGAATGAGCGGCTGGACCGCCCCCCTAATAAACCTATTCACATTAGTTTTTTATGGTGGATATTCAATGAGCTATAGCATTGCTACGACGAGTTCCTGAAATCAGCGCAATTTCGGTTAATGGTTAATAAATGTGTCGTACTCAAATCTAAATAGTACAAGAGCTGAATATATTTTTTATGCACTGTTTAGTCGTTCGCCCCCCGTTTGCTGTGGCCCCCTACCACCAGTCGTCCTTGCTGTTGGAGTTGTAGTTTCCGCCGAAGTTACTAGCGCGGTCCATGCCTGCGTTAGTTAAAAAGCACTTTTATCACGCACAAATCAACAGAAAAACCGCAATTCTTACCTCCGTTTCCGTAGCTGCTGCCGCCGTAGTTTCCGCCCGAGTTGGGTTTCGATGAGCGCTGAGAGCTTCCGCTCTGTTGGCGGTAGTCGCGGCTGCCGAAGCTGCTGCCGCCGCCGTTGCCGCCATACCGCTTGCCGCCGCCTCTTCGGCCTGAGCCCATTAGGCGGCTGTCTGACGCCACGCCTTCCAGCCACGATGGGAATTCCTGAAAATCGCCAAACCGTCAAAACTTGCTTGCGCCTTTTTTTACAAACTTCTTTTTGGGTATTTCGCCTCAATAATTTTGTCTTTAAAAAAGACAGAATTTCCTCACGTCTTTTGCTACAGATTGATGAATAGTGCTCCTATTTCGCAATAAATTATTGAGGCGAAATACCCAAAAAGAAGTTAAAAGAAAATACCCGTCCAACTCTCGGTTGAGTTGCAGAAGAAGGAAGATCGAACGCACCTGTTTAGCCTCCACTAGCAGATCGAGCATGCCGCTGGCCAAGTTGCGGTTGCGGTCGTTGAAAAAGGAGGTGGCCAAGCCCAAGTTGCCCATACGGCCGGTACGTCCGATTCGATGGACGTACTCCTCAATGTCGGAGGGCAGATCGAAGTTGATCACGTGCTTGACATGAGGAATATCCAGTCCACGAGCCGCCACCGCAGTGGCCACTAGGATGGGCGTGTTTCCGGACCGGAACTGCTTCAATGCGTCCTCCCGTTCGCGCTGGCTGCGATCGCCATGAATGGAGGTCACCGGGTAGCCCTCCTGATGCAGAAAGTCCTCCAAGGAGTCGGCACCCTTCTTAGTTTCGACGAAGACTAGCGTCAGGCTTTCGGCAGATGGCTGGTGCATGTCGGCCACGTTCAGCAGGTCGAGCAGGAACGAGCGTTTGTCGTGTTCCTCCACCCAAACAACCTGGAACAAAGGAGAGACATATTCGAGGATTCCACTTTAAAAAAATTCCTGATGCCGCTTCCCGACAAGGTGGCAAGTT